CCCACGTGTCAGCATTCGAGACGCTCGTTAGATCTGCACGTTTCATGTCAATATTGAAAACACGATGCGCCTCGTGTGACCGAATCGCACTTGTTACCATCTTTAGATGTGTCTCGAGTAACCCCACTTCGCACATGCGACTCCGCCGAAACACGTGTCGCAAATCTTGAACGCGCCACGTGTTGATTTCGCCTTCGGCATCCAACGCACCGCACAGCCCTTGCCCCACTTTCGTCGCTGCAGAACTATCTTTCTTACCTCGCCTCATCGCCATGCTTGCTTTTCTCTCCATGCTGCTATCTTCGCTCACCTCGTACTGGTAAATGCTCGCAATGCGCTAGCCTGCGATCCGCAACATCTCGTCGCCCCGCCACGTCATCAATGTTGGTAGTGAACCACCCCAGCAAAGATGTAAACGTGCAAACAGCCAGCCATGGCCGAGGAGAATCATACGCTCTATGCTATGCTCCGAAATAGAACGCTTTAGTATGGAAATCTTTCCTACTGCTAGGAATTTACGACGGATTCGAGTCTGACGAATCAGGGCGTGTCCAGACAGTACGTTCTGTCGAAGTATCCTCCCAACCATTTGAGGTTGCGATTCCACCATTCTGAAACGCAAAACACGCTTCTTTCCCGTAATCAAGCAGATTCATGAAACCGCAGATTGCACCGCAGGATGATTTCTGCTCAGGGATTTGTTTTGTGTGTGGAAGCCATGACTTGGTTTGGTTAGTACAGCATGATTTGCACCATCAGGGCGTGTCACAAAGTACGTCCGATTGCGGTTCGATACGATATGTCGCTTTCTGGAACATTCAAATAAATATCTAGAACGGTTATGGTATTGTGCAGAAACGTAGTTTTGTGAGAGGTCTTTCGATTCCAAGTTGCCATTCACTAAGGGCGTGTTCGCGAAAGGTGCAGTTCGCACAACCTGTTACCTTTCGCGAACTACAGTGCAGTATCCACATTGTGAGAAGGGAAAGTGGCGATCCTGGCGCCTTTTTGCCATAACAGGGATAGGGCTGACATCCAACTGATTCACTTCTCACACCCGTCCTAACGTCAAGGCCAGAATTTTAGGCTTTCATTTCAGGTCATGAGCGACTGAGTATCTGTATGCTGCACTAACGCATAATGACGTATTCAGGGTAACGCAGAACCATGACGTATTCCTGGAGGGAGGAGCACGGCAGACGTATCATGCTGCATAGCTAACTTAGGACCTTCGCAGTCTAACACTACCTGACCGCACCCAGACACTCGTGAATCGCTCAGACATGGCCGTAAGACTCGCTCCGCGCTATGCGGGCAAAGACGAGCCTAGCGACGACCTCGACGAATGCCCCATCTGCTTTCTGGTAGGCCTCTCGTCCCGTTTTTGGTCGCTTCTCGTTCTGTTAGGGGTCGCTTCCTGATAGGGGTCGTTCCTGATAGGAGGGTTGCTCCCTGATAGGGGTCGTTAACAGATAAGAGGGTTGCTTCCTAATAGGGGTTGTTTCCTGGTAGGAGGGTTGCTTTCTGATAGGGGTCGTTAACAAATACGAGGGTTGCTTCCTGATAGGGGTCGTTATCAGATAAGAGGGTTGCTTCCTGATATGGGCTGTTCCTGATAGGAGGGTTGCTTCCTGATAGGGGTCGTTAACAGATAGGAGGGTTGCCAATAGGGTTCGCTTCCTGATAGGAGGGTTGCTTCCTGAGAGGGGTTGTTAACATATAGGAGGGTTGCTAATAGGGTTTGTTTCCTGATAGGAGGGTTGCTTCCTGAGAGGGGTTGTTAACATATAGGAGGGTTGCTACTAGGGTTTGTTTCCTGATAGGAGGGTTGCTGCCTGATAGGGTCCGTTTCCTGGTAGATTCGTCTCATTGTCAGCCTCGCATCCTTGTCGCCTCACATAATCACATCTATACGTGATAATATCGGGCGGCGAGCCTGCCTCCTCGCTGCGTAGCAGTATCTGCGTCCTGACTGAAGACGCAGCATCAGATAGCAGCTATGGAGGATGCCCGAGTCTAAGTCGCATGGTCAATATTCCCTGCTTCAAAAGTCTTGTTCATCTCGAAGCTGGCTATTTTTCCCTTTTGAGGACACATCAAGCCTCTCTTCGACCTGGCCTTCTTCCCTATTCTCCGTTAGGGTGAGCTGCGAGCAGACTACTTAGTACGTACTTTGTTAAGTAAATTGTAAGTACACGCTTTGTACGTACCACTTTTTGGGTGAGCTGCGAGCAGACTACATGGAAAGCTTCTACGTTGTACGTTCTTTGAAGTAACGAGGGCCTCTTAACTCAGCTTATGTCCCTCGTTCCACCAATCTTCCCTCGTTCCACCAATCTTCCCTCGTTCCACCAATCTTCCCTCGTTCCACCAATCTTCCCTCGTTCCACCAATCTTCCCTCGTTCCACCAATCTTCCCTCGTTCCACCAATCTTCCCTCGTTCCACCAATCTTCCCTCGTTCCACCAATCTTCCCTCGTTCCACCAATCTTCCCTCGTTCCACCAATCTTCCCTCGTTCCACCAATCTTCCCTCGTTCCACCAATCTTCCCTCGTTCCACCAATCTTCCCTCGTTCCACCAATCTTCCCTCGTTCCACCAATCTTCCCTCGTTCCACCAATCTTCCCTCGTTCCACCAATCTTCCCTCGTTCCACCAATCTTCCCTCGTTCCACCAATCTTCCCTCGTTCCACCAATCTTCCCTCGTTCCACCAATCTTCCCTCGTTCCACCAATCTTCCCTCGTTCCACCAATCTTCCCTCGTTCCACCAATCTTCCCTCGTTCCACCAATCTTCCCTCGTTCCACCAATCTTCCCTCGTTCCACCAATCTTCCCTCGTTCCACCAATCTTCCCTCGTTCCACCAATCTTCCCTCGTTCCACCAATCTTCCCTCGTTCCACCAATCTTCCCTCGTTCCACCAATCTTCCCTCGTTCCACCAATCTTCCCTCGTTCCACCAATCTTCCCTCGTTCCACCAATCTTCCCTCGTTCCACCAATCTTCCCTCGTTCCACCAATCTTCCCTCGTTCCACCCCTCGTTCCACCAATCTTCCCTCGTTCCACCAATCTTCCCTCGTTCCACCAATCTTCCCTCGTTCCACCAATCTTCCCTCGTTCCACCAATCTTCCCTCGTTCCACCAATCTTCCCTCGTTCCACCAATCTTCCCTCGTTCCACCAATCTTCCCTCGTTCCACCAATCTTCCCTCGTTCCACCAATCTTCCCTCGTTCCACCAATCTTCCCTCGTTCCACCAATCTTCCCTCGTTCCACCAATCTTCCCTTCCCTCGTTCCACCAATCTTCCCTCGTTCCACCAATCTTCCCTCGTTCCACCAATCTTCCCTCGTTCCACCAATCTTCCCTCGTTCCACCAATCTTCCCTCGTTCCACCAATCTTCCCTCGTTCCACCAATCTTCCCTCGTTCCACCAATCTTCCCTCGTTCCACCAATCTTCCCTCGTTCCACCAATCTTCCCTCGTTCCACCAATCTTCCCTCGTTCCACCAATCTTCCCTCGTTCCACCAATCTTCCCTCGTTCCACCAATCTTCCCTCGTTCCACCAATCTTCCCTCGTTCCACCAATCTTCCCTCGTTCCACCAATCTTCCCTCGTTCCACCAATCTTCCCTCGTTCCACCAATCTTCCCTCGTTCCACCAATCTTCCCTCGTTCCACCAATCTTCCCTCGTTCCACCAATCTTCCCTCGTTCCACCAATCTTCCCTCGTTCCACCAATCTTCCCTCGTTCCACCAATCTCCCCTCGTTCCACCAATCTTCCCTCGTTCCACCAATCTTCCCTCGTTCCACCAATCTTCCCTCGTTCCACCAATCTTCCCTCGTTCCACCAATCTTCCCTCGTTCCACCAATCTTCCCTCGTTCCACCAATCTTCCCTCGTTCCACCAATCTTCCCTCGTTCCACCAATCTTCCCTCGTTCCACCAATCTTCCCTCGTTCCACCAATCTTCCCTCGTTCCACCCACCTTTCCTTGTTCCACCCGCCTTTCCTTGTTCCACCCGCCTTTCCTTGTTCCACCCGCCTTTCCTTGTTCCACCCGCCTTTCCTTGTTCCACCCGCCTTTCCTTGTTCCACCCGCCTTTCCTTGATCCAGAATTATCCAAGCCTGAACACGTCACGATGCTGCAAGAAAAGGCTGTGTACAGGTAGATTCCCTGACCCGTCTCGAGCATTTGTTTCTGCGGTGAACCTCCAAACCTCATGGTGAAGCCACACCACACGGCCCAGCTAGCGTGCGCTCTCCGGATTTCTTTGTGCTGCTATTTTCCCCGACTCACCTAACCAGTTCTGAGCATGCGCTTTCGCTGCAAACCATCTCATGGTCTCCTTTCTAGGGTGGAATTTGGTGGAATTTGGTGGAATTTGGTGGTATTTGGTGGAATTTGGTGCACGTCCGCATCACCTCACGGTCACATCACCCTCATATCACCCTCACGTATTTCCTCTCCATGCCTATCCGCTTGGACACAACCCCTTTCAGACTGCGTTCTTCTTCCGCCAGCAGCACCCTGCGGCTTTTAATGCGACTCAAAAGCGTCTTATCAAATGCTCACCACTGCCCTTCCTCCGGTGCCTTTCCCCTAACACCCCTTGCAGACTGCTTTCTTCTTCCAGCAGCACCATGCGGGTGTCTTTTCGAATCCTCTCTGCTGCCTTTCCTCAAGTGCTTTTCCCCCAAACCTCTTCCAGACTGCTTTCTTCAGATGGGGTCGTCCACCTCGTCCTGCATCCTGCGGCCTTTGATGCGCCTCATTAGCATCAAAAGCAACTGCACCCGTAATTCCTCTTCACTTTCACCCTTTTCCCCTTGGACGCCCAATTGCAGACTGCTTTCTGAGGATGGGGTCCTCCACCTCGTACTGTACCAAGCGCCATGTGCCCTGTCCGTTCTGCAACGCGTCAGTGCTTGCAGTGGAGCACCGAGGAAAGCGCACGGCTGAGGAGAGACATGCTGAGATGGTGGTAGGCTCTCCTGCTCGTTTTGCTGCCCTTGCTGGTTGCTCCTTTGCCACTTTTTGCTGTCCTTGCTGCTGCTGCTGTTTTTTTTTTGCTGCCCTTGCTGCTGCTGCTGTTTTTTTTTGCTTCCCTTGCTGCTGCTGCTGTTTTTTTTTGCTTCCCTTGCTGCTGCTGCTGTTTTTTTTTGCTTCCCTTGCTGCTGATGTTGCTCTCTGTTGCCTTCTTTCGTAACGCAGCTCCAGTGTGATGCGTATCTGATATCTCTGCCTCTTCCCTGTCCCCCTCCTCTTCGATCCCTCTTTTCTCTCCCATATCCTCGCTTTCCATGCCTCTTCTCATTCTCTCCCCCCTCCCCACCTCCCCTTCCTTCCTTACACATCCCCCGCCCCCCTCCCCCTTCGCCGCCCCCATCCCTTTGCAGCAGGAGGAGCAGAGGGCAGTGGACATTGGAGGCGATGATTTGATGTGCCTCAACCCTTCTCCCCCTCCTCTTCCCCCCCCCCCCTCCTCCCCCTTCCCCCTCGAAGCAGGAGGGGCAGAGGGCAGTAGGAGCGATGATTGGAGGGCCTCAATTTTCCCCCAACCTCCCCCGTTCCCCCCCCCTCCCCGTCCCTCATCTCCCCGGAGCAGGAGGAGCAGAGGGCAGTGGAAGCGATGATCCGAATGCAGGTGGAGGCCCAGGGGGCAGCACGCCCAGCTGACCAAACGCCAGCAGCAGCACCAGCAGCAGCAGCAGCACCACCACCACCCCGAGCAGCAGCAGCAGCAACAGCAGCACAGGCTGCTTCTGTCATCGACTTGTCAGAGTATCCACCCTCGTCGCCCTGCCCCTTCTCTCACCTCTTTTCTCTTCCTGTTTTTTCTTTTCGTTTCTCGCCATTTCTCCCACCTTTTTCCCTGCCCTGTTTTTTTCTTGCACTTTCTCCCACCTATATTTCCTTCCTGTTTCTTTTGCCCGTACTCCCACAGTCCCACCTGTTTCCCCTTCCTCTTTTTGTCTTGCCCTTTCTCCCATCTCTTTCCCCTTCCTGTTTTTTCTTTTCTATTGCCTTTTCTCCCACCTCAATCGCTTCATGTTGTTTCTTGCCCTTTCACCCACCTCATACCTCCCCCACATACTGCCCGCCTGCCTTGTCTCGCCCATTGGTCAGGGAGGAGGTTATGTATGTGGAAAATCTCATGGCCTTTGAGGCGCCTCAAAAGTTATGTATGTGGAAAAGGTCATGGCCGTGTGGACCTGCTAATGTTTCATGCCTGCTTTCTCTTGCCCAGGGAAGAGGAGGACGATGAGGAGGAGGAAGAGGAACACGAGGAGGACGATGACGGCGAGGAGGAGCACGGGGAGGACGACGACGAGGAGGAGATGGAGGTGGATGTGGAGGAGATCATGCTCGATAGAGTCTTGTGGCTCTCCCTCCAAGTAAGCCTTTTGCCGACTTTTAAGCCATTTCAAATTTCACCATTGTGAAGCAAGCTATGTGGCGATCTATATTTTTTTCTTGCGGCACGACCTAAAAAAAAAAAAACCAACAACAACAACAGCAACAACAAACGCCGAAAACCAAGATGCAGCAGTGTCATTATGTTTTTCTTTTTCTTCTGGTTTGTATGCCTTGATTCACACCCGTGCAATCAGTCCACGCACCTTTTCGCCATGTCATCAGTTCTCCCACGTTTGCCTCCTCCCTACTCCCCCTCTTCCTCGCTTCCTCGGCTGTACCCCCCTTCTCCGCTTTCCTGTCCCATCAGCATCAGCAGCATGGGCAGAAGACGTCAAGCGCAGCTGCAGCAGGGGGTGAAGGGTCAGCACACGTGACCACACACGTTTCAGCACAAGTTTCAGCGCACAGGCAAGAGCGGCAGCAGCAGCATCAGCATCAGCAGCAGCAGCAGCAGCAGCAGCATCAGCAGCAGCAGCATCAGCAGCAGCAGCAGCAGCAGCAGCAGCAGCAGTATCAGCAGCAGCAGCAGCAGTATCGGCAGCAGCAGCAGCAGTATCGGCAGCAGCAGCATCTGCATCTGCATCTGCATCAACATCCGCATCAGCATCAGCATCAGCAGCAGCAGCAGTATCGGCAGCAGCAGCATCGGCATCTGCATCTGCATCAACATCCGCATCAGCATCAGCATCAGCATCAGCAGCACAGGCAGAGGACCTCAAGCTCAGCCACAGCAGCAGCACACGTGTCAGCACAAGGGACAGCACAAGTGACAGCACGAGTGTCAACACACGTGTCAGCTGGCGTGTCAACGAACGTGTCGGCTGGTGTGTCAACGCACAGGCATAGGGAGCCCTTGGTAGGAGAATCACCCCTGGGGAGGAGGGTTGCCATTGCTGTTCGTGACCTTGATGGCAGGAGGCAGTGCGGCCCTCCTTATGCACAATCAGTCACAGGTGCTGCCTCTGCTTCTGGTGCTGCCTCTGCGCCTGCCTCCGCCTCTGCGTCGACATCGTCTCAATCTCTGGCTCCTCTCGGATTCCCTCTGGCAGTGCCTGACGATTTCGAGGAGCAGATGAGTCTGGCCATCGCCATTTCGCTCATGGAGGCGGAGCAGAGGGGGGCGGAAGTTGGGACGAATGGTGGCTCGTTTTGAGCAACCAACCAAACTAACAATGTTGCATATGCACCTGCATGTGCAGCAGAGTCTTCATCTGCAAGTGCATCTGCACTTGCACCAGAATCTGCATCTGCAAGAGCATCCCTGGCTCCTTTGGGAATCCTTCTGGCAGTGCCTGGTGACGTTTTCAAGGAGCAGACCAGTCCGGCCGGCGGTCGCCATTTCCCTCGTAGAAGCAGAGGAGTGGAGAGCGGTAATCAGACCCGGCGATGTTGGGGGCTCTCAGGCGGTTCGCTCTGGCCACTAGTGGTGCATTTAACTTGTAGCTGTGCCTTTGGCAGTACCTGACCCGATGACTTGGAGGAGCGGATGAGCCTTGAGCCGTTTTTTAGAATTCTAAAAAATGACTCCACTCAGGCTGTTCGCTATGGCTTCTAGGGGTGCAGTTAGCTGCTACCTGTGCCTCTGGCAGGGTCCGACCTGATGACTTGGAGGAGCGGATGAGTCTTGCGGTTGAGATTTCCCTCATGGGGAGGCGGAACAGGGGGAGCGGCAGCTGGGTCTAGTGGTGCCTCGTTTTGAGCAACCAAGCATGGCAGAGAGGAGCGGAGGGGGGCAGAGGGGAGCGGAGGGGGGCAGGAACCAGCCCTGATGTTTGGGGGGGGGGGAGGGGTCGTCACGCTGTCCGCACTGCCCTCAATCTCGGTGTACATATCTACGAACAGTTGGGGGCGGGGGAGGGGGTTGGTGTGGGGGGGGGGGGTTTCGGGAATAATAGTACCATTAGTTGCTGGAGGGTGCAAGAAAGCCCACAGCAGCTTGGTGTTGGAGGTGAGGGGCCATTCTTTTCTTCTAGAGGCATAGGTAGAGACGCACTGGTGCTGGTAGCGTTTGCTTTTGAGTCGACTCAAAAGGGGAGGGGGAGCAAGGAACCATTTGTTTCTTCTAGAGGGGTAGGTAGTTAGAGATGCACTGGTGTTGGCAGCAAGCAGGTGTGTAAAAGGGTCTTTGCCTGAGGTGCAAGCCCATGGCTGGCAGTAGCTTGGATCTGGATGCTAGCATGAGGTGTAGTGTATTGCTCGGTCGAGCTGTCACTCACCACAGTAACTAATGCTGTTAAGTTGGTGCTCTTTCTGTCAAACATATAGTGTTAAGTTTGTGTAGACTGTATAGGTTTGTGTCTTAGAGGGTACAGCTTCTAGGTTATATTACCTTGTACTCTCCCATTCTAGTTCATTCTTGCATTCTAACATGGTATCACGAGTAGGTTAGGTCCACCCACCCGCTTCCGCCCGCGCCCTAGCCTATCGCCCCCTACCTAGCCCTAGCGCCCGCCCGGCCCTTAGCGCCCGCTCGGCCTGTAGCGCCCGCCCGCCCCTTAGCGCCCGTCCGGCCCGTCGCTCCTGCCTGGCCCTTAGCGCTCACCCGGCCCGTCGCCCCCCCCCCCCGGCCCGTAGCGCCCGCCCGTCGCGCCCGTTGCACCCGCCCGTCGTTGCTCGCTATTCCACACCTGCCTCCGCTACTGCAGGCCGCCTGCTCTTCCCTATGCTTTTCCCAGACCTTACTTCCTTCCCTACAATTGCTGACCTTGCCACTCACCTGCGAGCCCTAGAGTCTCGCTACCGCACTGCTAGCACTGCTGCCCAGCTCACTGCGCTCCCTCCCCCCTTCTGCATGACCCTCTACTTTATCGCTATGCGCCTATCTGACCGCCTTGCTAGTGCACGCGACCACATCCTTAGCCAGCACCCGGGTGATCTCACCCTGACAGCCTTTGTCACCGCCCTGACAGAGATCGAGACTCGCCAGCGCACTATCGCTCAGTCGAGCGGTGCGCCGGCAATCTCTATCTTCACAGTTGTGCACCCTCCCAGTGCATGTTTACTGACGTTTCGGTTGCGGTCGCCACTGCGACCCCTCTGACCGAGACTGCAGCTGTGGCCCTCCCGCAGCAGCGCCCGCGCCGCGCAGGTCGTGGCCGCCAGGGAGGGCGTGGTGGTGGAGCTAGTGGTAGTGGTGGTAGTGCCGGGGACAATGGTTCTACTGAGGGGACTGCCGTAGCTAGTCGGGAGCAACCGCCGTCGCTGCAGCAGCAGGAGCAGCCGCAACAGCCGTCGCCGCAGTCACAGTCGTCGCAGCAGCTGTCCCAGCCCCCGTCGTGGGCTTGTCTCCCCCCCGGGTGGCCCGGCATCTCCATAGGTGGTGGCCGTGGTGGCGGCCTGCGCAGCTTGGCGTCTACCGGCAGCTCCGTTGGTGTGACCTGCCAGTACCAGCTTCATACCGGGCCTCTCCGTGGCACTCTGTGCCGCCGCCCGCACCCGACCACCCATTGTTTCAGCCGCTTCGACGATCTCTTTCGTCGTCGCTTTGGCCCGGCCCCGGACCTCCCCGACTGGCACAGCCTGCTTCGCCAGGGCGTGCCGATCTTTGAGTTAGATATGGATCAGATAGGTGCTGCTTTGCATGCCTTGTATGCTGACGCTTCTAGTGTTGCAAGATCTTATTACCCTGTGTAATCTAGTTTATGCATAGCACCCTTGTTTAGCTCAGCCTCCCCTGCTGCGTCAGGCGTAGGACAGCCTAGTTTGCCTAGCCTAGTTTCTGCATCGGCTCCGTTCCCGGCCTCCACTACTGCCTCGCTGTCCTTCACTCTCGTCTCTGGTGCTTCTGCCTGTTTCTTCCGCGACCGCTCTTCGCTCACGCCGCTTGCTGCGCCTGCTGTTATCGTTCTCACTGACCCCTCTGCGGGTCCTGTCGTAGCTCGCAGCTCCACTTCCCTTCCCTGTCCAGCCATTCCCTTGGGCTCTCTTACAGGCCTCCACGTTCCCTCGTTCTCCAGGAACCTGGTTGGTGTTGGCCGTCTTCAAGACCTCGGCGTCACCACTACATTCCTTGGGCACGAGCGGTCCGCTGTCTGTACCGAGGCTGTCTCAGGTTCCCCCCTTGCAACGTTCCCCCGGGACCCGGTGTCCGGTCTATTTACCCTCGACACCGCTTCCCCCCCGGCTGGTGCGTCCTCCCAGGCTGCAGCTTGCTCGTGTCGATCTCTCACTCACCCGTCCCTTTTGTGGCACCACCGCTTAGGTCACCCTGCTCTCCCGCGTCTGCATCACATGTCCCAGCACGGTCTTATCTTAGGCCTCCCCACGTCGCTCCCCGGCCTTCCCCCCTCGCCTGCTCCACCTTACACGCCTTGCGTCGAGGGCCGGCTCCGACGTGCCCCTCACTCCTCCTCGCTTCGCCCTGCTACTGCTCCCCTTCAGACCCTGCACCTGGACGTTTGGGGCCCAGCCCCCGTCCCCGGACCGCGCGGTGAGCGCTACTTTCTTGTGCTCGTCGACGACTATACGCTCTACCTTTCCCCTGGAGCGGAAGGCCGACGTGCCCGACGTTCTTCTCCCGTGGGTTGTGGCTGCGCGTCTTAACCGCGGTCTCCCCGTGTTGTGTCTCCACTCTGACCGCGGCGCCGAGTTCGCCTCTGGTCGGCTTGGACAGTTCTGTCGTGCGGAGGGCATCACCCAGTCGTACACCTTGCCGGACTCGCCACAGAAGAATGGGGTTGCTGAGCGCCGCATCGGCTTGGTCATGGAGGTGGCTCGTACCTCCACGATTCATGCCGATGCCCCCCATTTTTTGTGGCCGTTCGCTGTTCGCTACGCTGCTCACCAGCTTAACTTGTGGCCCCGCTCCCAGCGGCCGCAGGTTTCGCCGACCCTCCTTTGGACTGGGTCCCCCGGTGACGCGTCTGCGTTTACGTCTGGGGTTGCCTTGCTCACGTTCGTGCCTCTGGCACGGACAAGCTCACTGCCCGCACTGTCCCCTGTGTCTTCCTTGGTTTCCCCCTAGACTCGTCTGACTGGCTGTTCTACCACCCGCAGTCTCACCGCTTCCTACACTCTCGTGACGTCACCTTTGACGAGTCTGTCTCCTTCTACTTTCGCTTCCCTCACCGAGGTCTCCCGGTTTCCCCCCCCCCTGTTCCTTGCTCCCTCTCCCCCGGTAGCCCCTCCTCCCCTCCCGCCTCGTCCTGCCCCGTCAGGTGTCTCTCATGTCACTCCCCTCCCGTTCGTTGTCCCCGTTGATGAGTCTGCTGACTCTGGTGGTCCCCCTGGCCTGCCCTTGCCGCATCCCCCTTCCCCGGTGTCTCCGCCCCCACTGTCGCAGTCGCCGCCGCCGCCGCCGCCGCTGCTGCCGCTCTTGGCCTCTGGGGGTGCTGGCGTTGAGGAGGATGTTCGTCATGCGGCTCCTGGCGTGGTCTGTCCCGGCGGGACTGAGGGTGCCGCTGTTGCTGGAGAGGGTTCTCGCTCTGAGGGTGTTGGTTCTGGGGGTGCTGCCGTTGAGTGTTCTCCTGCCGGTCCGCGGGTCGAGCACCAGTCGCCGCAGCAGCTGCCGCAGCCGTCGCCGCCGGTCTCCGCTCTTCGCCTGCTTGGCCTTCTCTCCCCTGACCTCTCGCCTGTATCTCCCCCACCACCTACTCACCTTCCTGTCTATGGCCTTGTGTTCCCGCCGCCGGACTCATCTCCGGCCCGTCTTCCTCCGCGTTCCCCTTTTGTGTCCCCTTTGCTGTCTCCTGACCCTACACCTCCGTCCCGCGTCTGGTCTCGCCGTCCCTCACGTGCTCGTCCCGTCTCTCCTTACCTGCGCTCCCACCCTATGTTGCTCCGTTCCAACTCGTCTCGTCCTCCCCTCCTCCCGTCGCCTCCTCCCTCGTCGCTTGTTGTCGCACCTCCCCCGCTGTTTGAATACCTTCGTGTCGCTCGTCCACTTGTCCCTCGGGTTCTTGCCTCTCTTGTTACAGACCCGTCTGTTCCTGTCTCGCGTCTTAACGTGCTTGTTGCTGCTGTCGTTGACTTCGCCTCTACCCGCCGCCTTGACTACGCTACCGCTCTGGTCTCTAACCCTGCCCGTCATCTGTCCGTCGGGGGTGCACCTGCCCTTGGCAGTGACGTTCTAGAGGACAGCCACTATGAGCTTGCTTTCCTTTCCGAGGCCGCTCCTCATCTCTGCTCCATGCTCCTAGTCCCAGAGGGTGACCCAGACGCTTTCGACATCCTGACCCCTCGCACTTACGCTGAGGCGGTCTCGGGACCCTGGGCCTCTCAGTGGATAGCTGCCATGGAGTAGGAGATGGCATTTTGGAGGTCCACCGGCACTTACGTCGACGCAGTTCCCCCTCCTGGGGTGAACGTAGTCGATGGCCGGTGGCTCTTCAAGGTGAAGCGCCCTCCTGGAAAGCCGCCTGTGTTCAAGGCGCGCTACGTGGCTATAGGCTTTAGTCAGTGTGAGGGGGTGGACTTCTTTCAGACCTTCGCCCCGACCCCGAAGATGACTACTCTTCGGGAACTGCTACACGTAGCTGCACAGCGTGACTATGAATTACTCTCCCTCGACTTCTCCACTGCATTTCTTTAGGGCAGTCTACACGAGCAGGTCTACCTGCGCCGCCCTCAGGGTTTCGCTGGTACCTTCCCTCCTGGGACCCAGTGGCTCCTGCGGCGCCCCGTCTACGGCCTGCGACAGGCTCCCCGTGAGTGGCACGACACGGTGTGTGCTACCCTTGCTGACCTGCGGTTCTTTCCGTCCTCTGCAGGCCCCTCGCTCTTCGTTCATGCTGGCCAGACTTTGTTCTACATCCTTGTTTACGTAGACGACCTGGTCTTCGCCACTATCGACAGGGACGCACTGGCCTCGGTGAAGACAGAGCTGCTGAAGAGACACACCTGCACTGACCTACGAGAGCTGCGCCGTTACCTTGGCTTGCAGATCTTCAGGGACCGAGCAGCGCGCACCATCACCCTCACTCAGTCACACTTGATGCGCCAAGTCGTTCAGAGGTTCGGCCTTCAGTTCTCCTCTGCACAGCCCACCCCTCTACCTGTAGACCATAGGCTCTCTGCTCCAGTTCCTGAGGAGTCAGTAGAGCCCAGTGGCCCTTACGCAGAGCTAGTGGGTTGCCTCATGTACCTGATGACTTGCACTCGCCCAGATCTCGCATGCCCTCTCAGCATCCTGGCTCGCTTTGTGGCATCAGGCAGACACCGACCTCAGCACTGGTCTGCCGCTAAGAGGGTTTTGCGTTATCTTGCAAGTACATCGGGCATCGGGTTAGTGCTTGGAGGGCGCAGGCCAGTGGTCCTTACTGGACGCTTCGTGGGCAGACGACGCCGAGACCCATAGGTCCTCGCAGGGCTACTGCTTTAGCCTTGGTTCAGGTGCTGTCTCGTGGAGAGCTACTCGCTCCTCGTCTGTTGCCCAGTCCAGCTGTGCTGCCGAGATCTACGCCGGTGCCATGGCGGCACAGGAGCTCCGCTGGCTGACCTTCTTGCTCACTAACTTAGGTGAGCGGCCTAGCTCTGCACCGGTCCTGTACACTGACAACAGGGCCATGATCCTCCTGTGTCAGGAGCCGCGACTCGAGGGCTGAGCGAAGCACATCCAACTTTTACTTCCTCCTGCGTGAGCTACAGCAGCGCCGCCAGGCTCGTGTAATACACTTGGCCTCCAGTGCCAACACAGCTGATATCTTTACGAAGGCACTTGCGCCTAAAGATCATCAGCGGCACTGTGTACAGCTAGGACTTGTTCCTGTAGCCTCTCACTTGCTAGGGTCTTCTGACTGGCCTTGTGGCCTCTTCAAGTGGCTGGACTAGTAGTGCCGCCCTGATTTTGCTTTTGGCTTGTGTCTGTACTCGTTTGATTGGTCTTTAGACCCTTGCCTCAGAGGTCGGACTAGTAGTGCCACCCAGAGCTGCTCCTTCTCTTGTTAGGAACTGCTCCTATACAGTCTAGGGGGTGTGTCAAACATAGTGTTATGTTTGTATAGACTGTATAGGTTTGTGTCTTAGAGGGTACAGCTTCTAGGTTATATTAACTTGTACTCTCCCATTCTAGTTCATTCTTGCATTCTAACACATTCTACTACGGTATTTGTTTTTCGTCAGCCAATAGCGAATTTGAGAACCGCAGTATATCACAATTGCCCTAGACTATGGAACCTTACTACAATCAAATGAAGGGCAATAACAGGCCAGCCCCTAATCAGGCCAGCCCCTTATCAGAGGACTTGAAAGGGGATTTCACCTATGAATATCACATGAAGGTGGCACACATACGTAGCTTAGGAGATCACATAATGTTGCGTGCACATGCCATGCCAGCACATTCCGCGCGAAGTTTGAAGGCGTGACGGCGTTCGAATCTGAGGCCGAATGACGAGTCTGATAAAAGGCTGGTCTGATAAGGGGTTGTAAGAGAAGAACACGCCCAAACCCAAACATGGTGTACAAGCGCAGGTTTAGTTATAAATGACCTCGTCTGTACAATGACAGATGCACCAGCCATGGCTGCTCATTGGAATAAAAAGGGTTTCCAAAATGCCCAACACCAGCGGCCCCAGGCGTGACGGCGTTCAAAGCGGAGGAAGGTTCAACGCTTCCTCCGCTCTAGCACGAACAATCCCCTTGAATCTGGCACGACCCCGAAATCAGGTCCCAGTTCGCTTCAACCATGAACCGCATCCCATCGTTCCCAACCATGTTATAATCATAAGTGTTGCCATCCCCGTCAGAGTCCTGGGAGACGTCGCCGTACTGCCATGCGCAGAGGTCGGCATTCTCCGCCCCGTCAGATGTCAACCAACCAGACGACGTGTCGGGGTCGGTAGCAGCCTCGGCGATCTCGTGCCCGATGGTGGAGATCATACTATCGATTCCTGGCATGCCGTTGGGTGAATGGCTGATGGTGGCACGGGAACCGGAGAGTGGCAGGATATGGGAAAAGAAAACCCAGCCATCAACCGCTGTAAATAACAAAGGAGAAGACTTTCACAAAACGGAGATGAAAACCTTCCATAAATGCACTACCAGTTATCATGCGTCAGCACCGGACTCCAGGATGGCCCAACCACTCACTCACCAACGATCTCACTCACTCACTCACTCACTGTCACTCACTCACCCACTCACTCCCCACTCACTCACCCTCACTCACTAACTCGCTCCTCGGTCATCCAATACCTCATCCGGTAACTCGCCCACTCGCGCCTGAAATCATGGACTAATAAGAGGGAAATAGTGTAACTTTCATTCTGACTGTAACTCACTCACTGTATTTGCAGCACAGGTTGTGGCAGCCGATAAACCGTAAAGTGGTAACCGTGCAACAGCCCCAAGCAGGCTGTAGTTGTAACCATGCATCTGTAACAACACTCACTCACCGTGTTTGCAGCACAGGTCGTGGTGCCCGATGAACCCCAGGCGAACATCTCCCTCACTCACTCATGCATCCAGTCAAGTCACTCACTTGCTGAGGGATACTGTGTAACAACTCCAGTGCTCACTCGCCGTGTTTGCAGCACAGGTCGTGGTGCCCAATGAACCCCCGAGAGTGGTAACAGTGCAACAGCACCACGCAAGCTCTAGCTGTAACCATGCATCTGTAACAACACTCACTCGCCGTATTTGCAGCACAGGTCGTGGTGCCTAATGAACCCCAGCGCAATGTCCTCTCCCATCGGTAGAGTATGGGAGGTGTGGAATCCACAGAAATTGTCACAGAATCCGTCAACCTGGACGTCAGCACTCGTCAGCACGAGGTAGAGTCCGTCAGTGTCTATAGACAGTTCCGTCCCGACATGCGAGTCGACGACTGGAGAGATTGAGGGTGAGAGGAAAACGGTGCAAAGGAAGGGGTAGGGGAAAAAGAGAGAGAATACAAAAGGTGAGAGGAGACCAAGGGAGGGAAAAAGAAAGGGGTGGGAGGAATTTTAGAGCGAGAGGAAGGGAAAGTGGGGTGAAGGAGGGGTGGGGTGAAGGAAGAGTGGGTGAAGAGAGAGTGAGAGGAAGGGTGAGAGGAAGGGTGAGAGGAAGTGTGAGAGGAAGGGTGAGAGGAAGGGTGAGAGGAAGGGTGAGAGGAAGGGTGAGAGGAAGTGTGAGAGGAAAGGTGAGAGGAAGGGTGAGCAGAAGGGTGAGAGGAAGGGTGAGAGGAAGGGTGAGAGGAAGGGTGAGAGGAAGGGTGAGAGGAAGGGTGAGAGGAAGAGTGAGAGGAAGAGGGAGAGGAAGAGTGAGAGGAAGAGTGAGAGGAAGAGTGAGAGGAAGAGTGAGAGGAAGGGTGGGAGGAAGGGTGAGAGGAAGGGTGAGAGGAAGAGGGAGAGGAAGAGTGAGAGGAAGATTGAGAGGAAGAGTGAGAGGAAGAGTGAGAGGAAGAGTGAGAGGAAGAGTGAGAGGAAGGGTGAGAGGAAGTGTGAGAGGAAGGGTGAGAGGAAGAGTGAGAGGAAGAGGGAGAGGAAGAGTGAGAGGAAGAGTGAGAGGAAGAGTGAGAGGAAGAGTGAGAGGGAGAGTGAGAGGAAGAGTGAGAGGAAGCGTGAGAGGAAGAGTGAGAGGAAGAGTGAGAGGAAGGGTGAGAGGAAGGGTGAGAGGAAGGGTGAGAGGAAGGGTGAGAGGAAGTGTGAGAGGAAGGGTGAGAGGAAGGGTGAGAGGAAGGGTGAGAGGAAGGGTGAGAGGAAGGGTGAGAGGAAGGGTGAGAGGAAGGGTGAGAGGAAGAGTGAGAGGAAGAGTGAGAGGAAGAGGGAGAGGAAGAGTGAGAGGAAGAGTGAGAGGAAGAGTGAGAGGTAGAGTGAGAGGAAGGGTGAGAGGAAGGGTGAGAGGAAGGGTGAGAGGAAGGGTGAGAGGAAGGGTGAGAGGAAGGGTGAGAGGAAGGGTAAGAGGAAGGGTTAGAGGAAGGGTGAGAGGAAGGGTGAGAGGAAGGGTGAGAGGAAGGGTTAGAGGAAGGGTGAGAGCAAGAGTGAGAGGAAGAGTGAGAGGAAGAGTGAGAGGAAGAGGGAGAGGAAGAGTGAGAGGAAGGGTTAGAGGAAGGGTGAGAGGAAGAGTGAGAGGAAGGGTGAGAGGAAGAGTGAGAGGAAGGTTGAGTAAGGGAGGTTGAGTAAGGGCGCTTCCAAAGTGATATTTTTCTCCTTTTCGGTTTCCGGTGCAGCTCGGGGTGCTGCAGTTTCCCGTGGGTTCTGTGCTTTGCAGATATTTCAAGTACGGTACGAATTTCAAAAATTTCCACTTTGAATGCGCCCTAAGGGAGGTTGAGTAAGGGAGAGTGAGGTGAAGGGAGAGTGAGGTGGAGAGAGCACGAGGTGAGAGAGGGAGTGAGGAATGATAAGTCGGGGGCAGCAGTTACTCACTCCTCCCCACCGTTGATGGACTCCCAGCCGTCGGATCCCTCGTCTGTCACTGCCGCCCACCGAGATCTGCATTGGGAATCGGGTCGTAAGGCGAGGCGAAAAGAGAACAATTCTGATTGGTCGATGCAAAGAATCAGCAATAATGCGGAGAGCAGTGATTCGTTGAGACACCATCGTGTTGTTAGTGGCGAGTACTATCAGCAATCCGCTAGTGATGGTGATGATGTGGCAGATCATGACACGTGGCAGATGACACGTGGCACGCCCACCTGGGGACTGCGATCCGTCCTCTTCGTTCCGGTAATGATTGGAGGCGGTGTCCCACCACTTGCGCACACTGCTCTCCTTATATCGAGTCTCTCAAAAACGCACTCACCTGGGGACTGACGAACGTCTGCGATCCGTCCTCCTCGTTCTGATAGTAGTTGGTCGTGATGTCCCACCACTTGCGTACGCTGTTCTCCCCTGACCTCTCCCCCTGCTCCCCCGCCTCCCCGCCCAGCGAGTTCACGAAATTCTCGAGCGCGTCCTGCCCAGACCCCTCAGGCCAAGTGCCATAGTAGATTATGTACACTTTTGGGTTGACCAGTACCCGCCCACCACGGTTCTCAATATTGGTTATGGGTCCGTCCTCCGGCTCGCGCTGCTGCTGCTGCTGCATAACGCGCGGCCTGAGAGGACCGAGGTCCGTTGACTTCGCGAGCCTCGCCCCGGGCGGACTCCGACCCGATGGTAGATGTTCAGGATACTCATAATCACCACGCACAACAGGACGGCTTGAATAGTTGGTCATCTTCGTGCAACCCATTCCAGCAGTTACAACCTGGAAATACTAAGCTGACGCGGAATAACGCGAAGGCCAAACTGCATAAACGGCATGCTATCACACTGTGGCACTCCTCATCTATTCAAACACCAAAATCGAAATGCCGCAAACAAGAGGGCGAACACAAATAATATCGCACAGATGATTCCTACAGTGAGCGCTGCAGTGGAATTGCCGGGCGCAGGTGGCGGAGGCGATGGGGATGGAGGGTTTGGGGCGAGAGGGTCAACGGAAGGCGATGGTGCTGATGCACCTAGTCTAGTCGGGGTTTCAACAAGGATGTCATCTTTCTCGGGTTCGGGACTCGGCGAGGGCCGGCGGGGCCGCCGCAGCAATGTCCGCCGTGGCGTGATAGTGCTAGCCGCACCTTTTGCGACTTCGCTGCTGCCCAGCGCGCAGCATTGGGGCACCAATGCGGCCAACATGGTGAGCGCGACGAGCGAGATAAGGGCCAGTCTGGTAACGTTTTCGCGGGGATGGCCGTTTTCGTGACGAAAAGAAGCCATCTTTGGAAGGATGTGCTCCTGGTGAAAGAACCCGCCAGCTGGTACCAACATGCGGCGGCAAATACAGCTACTAGGGCAAAGGGGCACCGAACCAAGAGCAGCGTTTGAGAAGCCGCCCAAAGAGCCGTATCTGAATATGGGGTGTATGGGAGCGTTGCGGAATGCTAGCCCGAATGGGTCCTGCTGGCTAGATGGGGACATACCTGTTTCTTTTATGCTCGAAAGGTTAAGTTAGACTTCCGCCAGCAATGCCGCTCGGATTCCGTCGGAAGCAACGCTGCTCTCTCGAGCCTCGGATTCTGCCAGGAGCAACGCTGCTGTCGAGCCGCTCGGGTATCTGCCGAGCGCAGCGCGGTTCTCGCGCGGACGTCGAAACGAAAAGCAGAGGCTCCCGTGCCTCCTGCGCAACGCTGCATGGCGCCTAGCTCACGCTTGACCCGGACTCACGGACTAACAACAATCGAAATATGGCTGGTGGCAATCACTGCAGGGAGCTGCAGCTTTGGACTAGTGGGCAAACCATGGTCACACCTCAGTACGAGGGGGCTGTTCTATTGGGTGGAGCGGATGCAGGTGGTGTGCAGTGCACGGGTTTGCTAGATGAATTGTTTGCTCCTGCTGAGACCGGTGTTTCAGGGATGATTTCGACTTGCTGTACGGCTTTGTACTGTTTCCACACATGTTGGCTAGTAAGGACGCGAACATTGCGTCCGGTTTGCAGGATCACGCTCCGAACCTCGCTAAACAAGTTTGGTACCGCATTCAAACATTTCGAAATCCATCAAAACGAACAGGTCCACGGTCGGTTCGGCAAAACAGGCACACTGTATCGCGTCCTAAGGAGGGATGGACCAGAAAGACTTTCCGTGCCAGGACCAGCCGAACTGCGGAGTCCTAAACACGCATGCGACTTGACTTGCCTGGTAACTTGGCATGCTGGCTTGGAAATTTCGCTCGGAATGTTCGCTGGGTCTGTAATCTGTTCGACTATTTCGCTTGGGCCGAAGTTCGCGAGACCCTCCTCCACAGTTGCCTCGCGAGGTTAGCGACAGATGCACAAATGGAACCAGTTTGAAGTGAGGGATCTCAATGGCAGAGCTGATTGCATACATTCGTGCAATAAACCGCATAGCATGGTAATATACACCAATGTATTCGAGTGAGAAATCGTATGCCAATGGTAGATGTTCAGGATACTCATAATCACCAAGCACAACACGGCGGCTTGAATAATTGGTCATCGTCGTGCAACCCATTCCAGCAGTTACAACCTGGAAATACTAAGCTGACGCGGAATAACGCGAAGGCTAAACTGCATAAACTGCATGCCATCACACTTCACATTCATTCAAACACCAAAATCGGAATGCCACAAACAAGAGGGTGAACACAAATAATATCGCACAGATGACTCCTACAGTGAGTGATGCAGTGGACTTGCCGGGCGCAGGTGGCGGAGGCGATGGGGTGGTGGGGATGGGGATGGAGGCTTTGGGGCGAGAGGGACAACGGAAGAAGAGCTGCGCCGCTACCTTGGCCTGCAGATATCTAGGGACAGAGCAGCGCGCACCATCACTCTCACACAGTCACACTTGGTGCGCTAGGTCCTTCAGAGGTTCGGTCTTCAGTTCTCCTCTGCATAGCGCACACCTTTGCCAATAGATCACAGGCTCTCTGCTCTAGTTCTTGAGAAATCTGTAGAGCCTAGTGGTCCTTACGCATAGTTGGTGGGTTGGCTCATGTACCTGATGACTTGCACTCGTCCAGATCTTGCATACCCCCTCGGCATCCTGGCTCGCTTTGTGGCCACAGGCATCTCAGAACTGAATAATGATTAGAATAGGAGGGTACAAGGTAATATAAGCTAGTGAGTTGTAGGTACAAACCTGTATAGTCTACAGTAACATACTAAGATATGTTTGACACACCCCCTAGACTATATAAGGGCAGTGCCTAACAAGAGAACAAGCAGCTCAGGGAAGCACTACTAGTCCAGCCTCTGAGACAAGGGTCTAAAGACCAGTCAAAAAGAGTACAGACAAAACAGGAGCAAGTCCAAGGTCGTACTACTAGTCCAACCACTGGGAGAAGCTACAAGGCCAGCCTGAGTAATACATATATATAAGGTCTGTACACAGTCAAGGTCCTAGCAAGTGCGAGGTCACAGGAACAAGACCAAGCTATAAACAGTGCCGCTGATGATCTTTAGGCGCAAGCGCCTTGGTAAATATATCATCTGTGTTTGTACCGGAGGCCAAGTGTACTACACGGGCCTGGTGACGCTGCTGCAGCTCGCTCAGGAGGAAGTACCGCAGCTGGATGTGCTTCGCTCTGCCCTCAAGTCGAGGCTCCTGACACTGGAGGATCATGGCCCTGTTGTCACCGTACAGGACCGGGGCAGAGCTAGGCCGCTCACCTAAGTCAGTGAACAAGAAGGTCAGCCAGCGGAGCTCCTGTGCCGCCATGGCACCGGCGTAGATCTCGGCCTCACAGCTGGACTGGGCAACAGAAAAAGAGCGAGTAGCTCTCTACGAGATAGCACCTGAACCAAGGCTAAAGCAGTAGCCCTGGGAGGACCTAAGGGTCTCGGCGTCGTCTGCCCAAGAAGCGTCTGTGTGTCTAGTAAGGACCACTGGCCTGCGTCCTCCCAGCACTAACCCCATGCCTGATGTACTCGCGAGACGCAAAACCCTCTTAGCTGCAGACCAGTGCTGAGGTCTGTGTCTGCCTGTGGCCACAAAGCGAGCCAGGATGGGTATGCGAGAACTGGATGAGTGCAAGTCATCAGGTACATGAGGCATCCCACCAGCTCAACGTAAGGACCACCGGGCTCTGTTGGCTCCTCAGGAACTGGAGCAGAGAGCCTGTGATCTACCGAAAGAGGTGTGGGCTGTGCGGAGGAGAACTGAAGACCGAACGTCTGAAGGACCTGGCGCAACAAGTGTGACTGGGTGAGAGTGATGGTGCGCGCTGCTCTGTCTCTGGAGATGTGCAGGCCCAGGTAGTGGCGCAGCTCTCCTAGGTCGGTGCAGGTGTGTCTCCTCAGCAGCTCAACCTTCACAAAGGCCAGCGCGGTGGTGTCTGTAGTGGCAAAGACCAGATCGTCTACGTAAACAACGATGTAGAACGGAGTCTGGCCAGAACAAACGAAGAGCGAGGGGTCTGCGGAGGACGGAAAAAACTGCAGGTCTGCAAGGGTAGGACGCAACGTATCGTGCCACTCACGGGGCGCCTGGCGCAAGCCATAGACTGGGCGCCGCAGGAGCCACTAGGTCCCAGGAGGAAAGGTACCAGTGAAACCCTGAGGGCGGCGCAGGTAGACCTGCTCGTGTAGACTGCCCTGAAGAAACGTAGTGGAGAAGTCGAGGGAGTGTAACTCGTAGTCACGTTGTGCTGCTACGTGTAGCAGTGCCCAAAGAGTAGTCATCTTCAGGGTCGGGGCAAAAGTCTGAAAGAAGTCCACCCCCTCACGCTGACTGAAACCTCTAGCGCGCCTTGCACACAGGCGGCTCTCCAGGAGGGCGCTTCACCTTGAAGAGCCAGCGGCCATCGACTACATTCACCCCGTATGGGGGAACAACATCGACGTAGGTGCTGGTGGATCTCCAATATGTTATCTCCTGCTCCATGGCAGCTATCCACTGAGAGGCCCAAGGTCCCAAGGTCGCCTCAGCGTAAGTGCGAGGGGTCGGGATGTCGAAAGCGCCTGGGTCACCCTCACGGACTAGAAGCATGCAACAGAGATGGGGAGCAGCCTCGGACAGGAAAGCAAGCTCGTACTGGCGGTCCTCCAGGACGTCACTGCCGAGGGCAGAAGCACCCCCGACAGACGAAGGACAGGCAGGGTCAAAGACCAGAGCGGTGGCGTAGTCAAGGCGGCGGGTAGAGGCGAAGCCAGCGACCGCAGCGACGAGAGCGTCAAGACACGAGACCGGAACAGACGGGTCGGTAACGAGAGAGGCAAGGACCCGAGGAACAAGAGGATGAGCGGCATGAAGGTAGTCAGACAGAAAGGGAGGCGCAACAACAAGGGAGGACGTAGGAGGCGACGGTAGGAGGGGAGGACGAGACGCGTGGGAACGAAGCAACATAGGGTGAGAGCGCGGGACAAGGGAGACGGGACGAGCATGGGAGGGACGGCGAGACAAGACGTGAGACGGAGGAGTCGGGTAAGGAGACCGAGGAGGGGACACAAGAGGGGAACGAGGGGGAAGACGAGCCGTAGTCGAGTCCGGGGGAGGGAACACAGGGCCGTAGACAGGGAGAGGAGGAGACGGCAGGAGAGGCGCAGACGCAGGGTCAGAGGATGGAAGGTTGAGCAGGCGAAGGGCTGACACCGGCGGTGACTGCTGCTGCGGCGGGACCGCAAGCTGCTCCACGGCTACCTCCGGAACACTCCACTCCAGCACCCCCAGAAGGAACACCCCCAGAGCCCGAAACCCCTCGAGCACCGGTACCACCCCCAGGCCCGCCGGGACAAGCCACGACAGGAACCCCAGGACTAGTACCCATCCCAACGCCAGCACCCCCAGAGTTAACGAACTGCTGCTGCGACTGCTGCGGAGACGGCTGCGCCGGCGGCAGCTGCAACGACGGCTGCGGCGGTGGTGGGGACGGCGGCTGCGACAGCGGCGGCGACGGCGGCGAAGGAGGAGACACCTGGGGACGGGCAGGCGACGAGGACTGTGCCGCAGGGCCACCAGAGTAAGCAGACTTCTCGACCGGGACAATCGGCGTGAGGGGGTTGACGTGGGACACACCAGACGGTGCATGACAGGGAGGGGGAGGGGGAGGGGCAGGGGCCACTGGGGAAGGGGTGACCAATAACAGGGGGGAAGTAACCGGGGGACCTCGGTGGGGGAAGCGGTGGTAGAAGGAGACGGACTCGTCAAAGGTGACGTCGCGGGAGTGAAAGAACCGGTGAGACGGCTGGTGGTAGAAGTGCCAGTCGGACGAGTCAAGGGGGAAACCGAGGGAGACACAGGGGAGGGTGCGGGCAGTGAGCTTGTCCGTGCCAGAGGCACGAACGTGAGCAAGGCAGCCCCAGACGTGGAACGCGGACGCATCACCAGGAGACCCGGACCAAAGAAGGGTCGGCGAAACCTGCGGCTGCTGGGGGTGCGGCCACAGGTTAAGCTGGTGAGCAGCGTAGCGAACGCCGAACGACCACAGAAAATGGGGTGCACCGGGATGAATCACGGAGGTACGAGCCACCTCCATGACCAAACTAATGCGTCGCTCAACGACCCCATTCTGCTGTGGGGAGTCCGGCAAGGTTAACGCCTGGGTGATGCCCTCCGCACGACAGAAACGACCAAGTACGCCGGAGGCAAACTCGCCGCCACGGTCGGAGTGGAGACGCAAGACAGGGAGACCGCGGTGGACACGCGCAGAGACAAGCCACGGGATGAGAACGTTAGGCACATCGGCCTTCCGCTCTAGGGGAAACACTATGGTGTAGCGCGTGTAGTCGTCGACAAGCACTAGGAAGTAGCGCTCCCGACGCGACCCATGGACGGGGGCGGAGCCCCAGATGTCCATGTGCAGAGTTTGTAGCGGTGCGGCGGTAGGGGGGAACGAGGAGGAGTGAGGGCCACGGTGGAGCCGGCCCTCGACACAG